ACAGAGGGAGGGGAACATCATACATAGGGGCCTGTCAGGGGGTCGGGGGAAAGGGGAGGGAGAGCATTTGGACAAATACCTAATGCATTCGGGGCTTAAAACCTAGATGATGGGTTGATAGGTGCGGCAAACCACCATGGCACACGTATACCTATGTAACAAACCTGCACATTCTGCACATGGATCCTAGAACTTAAAGTAAAATAAAAAGAAAAAAAAAAGACAAAATAAAAAGTTAGGCCAGGCAAAGTGGCTCACGCCTATAATCACAACACTTGAGAGTCTGAGGCGGGCAGATCACTTGAGGTCAGGAGTTCGAGACCAGCCTGGCCAACATAGTGAAACCTGTCTCTACTAAAAATACAAAAATTAGCTGGGTGTGGTGACACACACCTGTAATCCCAGCTACTCCAGAGGCTGAGGCGCGATGTTGCAGTGAGCTAAGATTGTGCCACTGCACTCCAGCCTGGGCAACAAAGTGAGACTTGGTCTCAAAAAAAAAAAAGGAAAAGAAAAGTTGATCGGGTATGGTGTCTCATGCTTATAATCCCAGCATTTTGACAGTGGAAGGCCGAGGCAAGAGGATCACTTGAGCACAAGAGTTCAAAAACAGCCTGGGCAACAAAGTGAGACCCTGTCTCTAAAATAAATTAAAATTAAATAAATAAGAAAATGAATAGTAAGCCACAGATTGAGAGAAAATATTTTCAAAACATGTATCTAACAAAGGACTTTTATTGGAATATATAAAGAACTCTTACAACTCACACAAGCAAGCCATTTTTTTTAATGGGTAAAAGAGTTAACGTTTCAAAAATGACAATATCTGAATGGACAAGAAATACATGAAAAGATGTTCAGCAACATTGGTCATTAAGGAAATAAAAAATTAAAACCTCACTGAGATATCATAACAAAAACCTCTAGAATGGCTGAAATAACAAAGACTGGCTATTAATAAATAATGGCAAGGAGACAGAGTTAACTGGGACTCTCATACATTGCTGGAGAGAATGCAAAATGGTACAACCACTGTGTGAAAGACTAGCAGCTTCTTAGAATGGTAACTACACACATGCTATTTTATAGTCCCGCACTTTTACTCCTAGATTATTTGTTCAAGAGAAATGTACTGGTACACAAATGTTCAGAACAGCTTTTTTTTTTTTTTTTTTTGAGACAGAGTCTGTCACCCAGGCTGGCATGATTCGGGCTAACTGCAACTTCCACTTCTCAGGTTCAAGCAAATCTTGTGCCTCAGCTTTTCAGCCTCCCAAGTAACTGGAATTACAGGCATGCACCACCACACCTGGCTAATTTCTGTATTTTTAGTAGAGATGGGGTTTCACCATGTTGGCCAGGCTGGTCTCGAAATCCTGACCTCAAGTGATCCACCCTGCCTTGGCCTCCCAAAGTGCTGGCATTATAGGCGTGAGCCACCACACCTGGCCAGAACGGCTTTATTTTTAATAGCTAAAACTTGGAGACAACTCAAATATCCATCAATATTTGCATGAATGAATAAGTAAACTGTGTTATATCCATACAGTCTAATATCCCTCAGGGGGAGAAAAAGGAACATGGATGAATTGCAAAACCAACATGTTAAGTGTAAGAAGGCAGACACAACAGAGTACTCACTGTATGATTCCTTTTATATAATATTCTAGAAAATACAAAACTGTAAGGACAAACCTGATCCTGGGGTTGCAGATGGGAGTGTGAATTGACTGTAAACACACAGGGACAAGCTTTTCAAATATCTGAAAACTTAACTGTCATGGTAAATAACTTTACACATATAATTTATTCACTTGTATACTTAAAATGGGCAAATTTTATGTGATCTGAATTACACCTCAAACTATTTAAAAGAGTAGTTCAACTAGTATCTATTTTATTTTTTCCTTTGTAATTTAAATCCTACAAGTGTTTTTTTTGTTTGTTTTGTTTTGTTTTTTTGAGATGGAATCTCACCCTGTTGCCCAGGCTCTGCTCACTGCAACCTCTGGCTCCTGGGTTGAAGTGATTCTCCCGCCTAAGCCTTCCGAGTAGCTGGGATTACAGGCGTGTGGCCACCATGCCCGGCTACTTTTTGTATTTTTAGTAGAGACTGGGTTTCACCATGTTGGGCAGGCTGGTCTTGAACTTCTGACCTCAAGTGATCCGCCCATCTCTGCCTCCCAAAGTGCTGGGATTACAGGCACGAGCCACCACACCCGGCCATAATCCCATAGCTGGTTTTATCATTGCATTCATAAATATGTATGATTGGTTTTTTATTTGTTTGCTTTTTTGAAACAGAGTCTCACTCTGTCACCCAGGCTGGAGTGCAGTGGCACGATCTTGGCTCACTGCAGCCTCTGCCTCCTGGTTCAAGCAATTCTCTTGCCTCAGCCTCCTCAGTAGCTGAGACTACAGGCGCGTGCCACCATGCCCAACTAATTTTTGTATTTTTAGTAGAGATGGGGTTTCACCATGTTGGCCAGGATGGTCTTGATCTCCTGATCTCCCAAAGTGCTGGGATTACAGACATGAGCCACCATGCCTGGCTGTATGGTATTTTTTAAAGGCTAGCTGGTTAAGTTATAGATGGAAGAAGAAATCATGATAATTTTATTCTATTAGATTGGGTGTCTAATCTTTTGGCTTCCCTGGGCCATACTGGAAGAAGAAGAATTGTCTTCAGCCACATATAAAATATACTAACAATAGCTGATAATAAACAAACAAAAAAATCATGTTTTAAGAAAGTTTACAAATTTGTGTTGGGCTGCATTCAAAGCCATCCTGGGCCACATGTGGGCTGCAGGTTGGATAAGCTTGTATCAGATTTTGTTTTACATGGTATGTTTTTACCCAGCTATTTGTTCTTCTTTATAATTTGTTCTGAATTTCAGTCTCACTTTCAAAAAGCTTTCTCTTCTCCACCCAAGCCATTTGTTCATCCCCTCTGTTCCTACTCCTCCACTGAACACTCTGGAATTCCGGCTCTACTGTTAAAGTCCTCTATCTTTTCCTGTGTCTCCAAACTCTTCCCTGAAGGTTCACTGTACCTCCTAGTCACCCAATTAAAGAGACTTTCCCTAGGATACTGCTTGGCCCTGCAGGGAATGAGATCTCCACAGCCCACACACCTTAAGGGTCCAGTTTTGATGTTGGTGTCTTCATCATTCCTCAAAGCCATTTCTGGACCATTCTTTCTCTACCCCTCTTATAAAAATGTTTGTTCACCTGAGCTCAAATAAACAATATCACCTTCTACCATCTATTTCTCAACTGTCTATCTCTTGTCACTTTCCCCTCCTTCATGAAGACTTTACACCCACATCAGTCCTCCTCACCACCTCAAAGCTTGCCATTTAACAGCTTGATGTTCCTGTTCTTTGACCTCATTATCACCAAGCAAGTTCTCTTCCATTCTCATCATTTGTTTAATGTAGATCTTCCCTGCTAGACTAAGGTCCATAAAGATGGGGACCAGAGATGTCTTCTTTACTGCTAAATCCCTAGCAAATAGCATAGTATATACTCTAGTTAAATAAGATTTTTTTTACTCCCACTAAGTACAAAAAATTGAAGCTACTAGCAGGCCTATGTTGCTTACAAGAAAACCAACAAAGACAATGAAGTATTTGGAAATCGTATCTAAAAAAAGTCAAACAATTTGTAATCAAAGAAAGTATCTGTACATTGAACAACTAAAGGAAATTAAAGTTAATATGTAAAAAGATAAAGCTGACAGTTCTGAAACTTGAGATGAGGAATTGCCTCTGCTACTAATTAGTGGCTTTACTTCTTGGGCCTCTATTTTTTCCTCATCTATAAATTTAAAAAGTTGTATCTTCTGAGTTCTAAACATTCTATTTCATTCATGTCTAATAGTGCCCCAGCATGCAGAAAGGAGCCCAGTAAGGCTGTTATAAGATGGCAACCTGATAACCTAGATCTGTCACAATCTGAATCAAGTTACCTTATTTAAAAAGAACTAAAATTAATAATCATCATCTAAGAATACTAAGATCTAGCAGAGCTTCATAAATAATGGTGGGACTAGATCAGGGTTCAGCAAACTATGACCCCTGGGGCAGCCACTGTTTTTGTAAAGTTTATTGGAGCATAGCCACATTATTCGTTTAAGTATTGTCTATGGCTCCTTTCTTGCTATTAACAGCAGAGTTCCACAGTTATGAAGAGAAGAACATGTGGCCCAGAGAGCCTAAAATATTTACTATTGGCGGGATGTGGTGGCTCATGCCTGTAATCCCAGCACTTTGAGAGGTCAAGATGGGAGGATCACTTGAGCCCAAGAGTCTGACACCAGCCTGGGCAACATAGTGAGACCCAGTCTCTATAAAATAATATTAATAATATAAAAATGTTAAAAACATATATTTACTATCTGACATCTTAAGAAAGTTTGCTGACTCTGGGCTAAATGATCTATAAGGTTCATTTAACATTTTTTTACACTGGGGATCAAAAAACTGCTGCAGTAGCCGGGCGCGGTGGCTCAAGCCTGTAATCCCAGCACTTTGGGAGGCCGAGGCGGGTGGATCACGAGGTCAAGAGATCGAGACCATCCTGGTCAACATGGTAAAACCCCATCTCTACTAAAAATACAAAAAATTAGCCGGGCATGGTGGCGCATGCCTGTAATCCCAGCTACTCAGGAGGTTGAGGCAGGAGAATTGCCTGAACCCAGGAGGCGGAGGTTGCAGTGATCCGAGATCACGCCATTGCACTCCAGCTTGGGTAACAAGAGTGAAACTCCGTCTCAAAAAAAAGAGCTGCAGTAAAATGCTCTTAAATGGAAAACAGCAATAAAAAATGAAAAAGGCATGAGGAGAGAGAACAATTCAAACAAGATCAAAATTCACTTCCCAGTGATAACAGTAACTTCTCTTTTCAAGCTAGTGCATGGCTTATCTTCCAGTCACTGAAGCCTTCTATTTGAAGAATATACAAGATGAAACAAGTATTAGAGACTTCATACTCACCTGCCTTCCTTAACTTTTTCTGCATTCCCTCGACATATGTAGTTTTCAATGTAACCATCACTGCAGTTGATTTTTGACCAATCTGGGTCACAAACATCCAAGAAGTGAGGCCGCAGTCTGCCTATCGAATACTTGGCAATGTCAGTCAGGGACTGACTAGCAGCTGCACCAAATAAAAAGGTTCCAATGGCTTTGTAAATAGTGGCTATGTAGTTATTCCTGATAAAGGAATTTGAGTGCAAAAGGTTACAGTAAACAGACAGGGTTTCTCCAAGAATCATCTGAAAAAGAAACAGAAAAATAATATGTTAAAGTAGCAAGCAGGCACTTTAAACAAAACAAAACATAGGGAGAAAAAAGAAAATGGTAACTCACAAAAAGATCTTTGTTTTAAAAACAGTCTCAGCCTTTTTTTTCTTTACAATGGAGAGTCAACTAAGGATATCCAATTCTAAGCCACAAAAAAAGTGTCGGATCAATGGTGGACACTACTTACAAAGTCATAGCTGAGCCAAAATCATACCACAGCTTACCTAAAATAGCAAGATCTTTTTTCTTGTATTCAAATAAACAGAGCTTTAAAAAGTAGACAGTGGGCCAGGCGCAGTGGCTCATGCCTGTAATCCCAGGACTTTGGGAGGCTAAGGTGGGTGGATCACAAAGTCAAGAGATTGAGACCATCCAGGCCAACATGGTGAAACCCTGTCTCTACTAAAAATACAAAAATTAGCTGGGCATGGTGGTGCACGCCTGTAGTCCCAGCTACTCGGGAGGTTGAGGCAGGAGAATCAATTGAACCTGGAAGGAAGAGGTTGCAGTGAGCCAAGATCACAACACTGCACTCCAGCCTGGTGACAGAGTGAGGCCC